AGGAATGTTTTCTCGTCAGAGAATACCAAATTCGGCAGTTCACCGCTTTCGGCCAAGCGAAGCCACTCTTTAGGTCTTTTGAGTCTATTTTCTCTCTGTTGCGGTGTAAGTTCTTGCACTTTTTGGAATTTCAATGTCTTTATCCCGAGCTCATTTTTCAATATTTGCCGAATGAAATATTGCGATATGTTCAGCTCACGAGCCATTTTTCGGCCACTGTGACGTGGGGTTCGATCAAGTCGCTTCTTTACTTTTCAAACCATTTCTGCTGATGTTGCTGTTTTCTTCCGTCCACTTCCTTAACGTCAGGCTACGCTACCATTATCACGGTAACGAGCGATGGTACGAGACGCAAAAGATTTATTCACATTTAAATGCTGAAGTGCTCTAACGATAGCCACTTGTGGTTTTCCAGCCAAATATAAAGAAATCACACTTTCACGCTTGAATTCCATCACGAATAACTTTTTTTTCTGGAAAATTCTTACCAAAATGCTTTTGTACGCTTGTAAACAATATAATGAGCTGTCACTGGAATAATATTAACATCTGACGGACGAGTGGCTTAGAAATGGCAGTAGTCTGAAATTGGTTGCAATTTTTTCATCTTACCCTGCATATCTTTATCTGATTTCAAGTTAATTGATCACCAAATGGGCAATATAATCCCTAATTGAAAAGACACAAATGCCTCGGCAAATTTAGTCTGAATAATTAGAATAGAGTCCAATCTCCCTCTTCGATTGTCAACTCTATCCCTTTTTCTGTGAGAAAAGAAACACGACCGCTTCGTTAGGGTGCTATTTCAATTCTGATTTTATTTCTAAAATATGTTGCTTACGTACTACTGAAACTAATCTAACTTAACCTAGTCGCAGCCACATAATTGTTCTTATCTATTCTAATATTGAATGGAGAACATTGCAGGGCTGCTTGACATCTCATTCAAGTGGTCTTGTGCATCTACTGAGCGCATTGATATCTGTGCGTGTGGGTCATAACCTTTATTATCTCACACATTATAGTATGCGTCAGCACACAAGATCAGCGAATTCTTCACATGTGATATTTTATGGCGCTGGGAAATATTTAATTTTAGAACATTTATCTTTTATTGCTACATTTTCCCAGCGCCTCAATCGCACTCAAAAGTATGTACAAAGTATTTTGTACATAGTCCTTTGGACTTTAAATTATAACTATAACCATGTTGATATGATTTTATTCTCACAAATTGCCCATAAAAACTTTTATTTGTTATGTGAAGCTCCACTATATATGCAAAGTGGTGTAGGGCATTATGAAGTCGGCCTGTCCGACTTTAAGGCTGGAAATACATAAAGCGCATATTTGGCTGGCTTAAGTCATCGGCTGGCTTCTTCGGAAATGAACAAAGGAGCCTAGGGCCAAAATCGAACTAGGTCAACCTAAATCTCCTTTGTTCATCTACGAAGAAGCCAGCCGATGACTTAAGCCAGCCAAATATGCGCTTTATGTATTTCCAGCCTAAGACTTTCTATACTGTTTTTCTTTTTCTTAAATAAATCAACTTAGATAAAAATGCTGATTGGAATATAAGTTTGGGATGTTGAAGGTTTGTGGATCAACATAGAAGTTTGAAAACACGATCCTGAACGGCTAATTTCACCAATATTAGAATCTTTCTTTCATTTCTCATATCTCCAATCAAGAAAAATTGAGAAAAAATAATTTGCAAAGATGGCAACGCTGATTGGACTTTTTTGCACCTTGTGTACCCTATTTTTTGTGCAAATTTAAAGTTTATCGTTATATATAAAAATAAAACAATTTAAATAAACGTATTTTCAATTTTTTGCATCGAATATAAGTTTGGGATGTAGAAAAGCCTGTGGAGCAACATAAAGTTAGAAAAGACGATTCTAAACGGACAATTTCACCAATGCTTCTTCGTTGTTTTTTTTTTTTTTTCAATTAATATCTTATTGAATCTATGGTATAGATGAAATTTTTTCAAAAATTAATATCCCTATTTTATGAGTTGCGAATATATTTGTCCAGTTATATTGATCGGTTGAAAATTTTTCAAAAGTGGCATTTACATACAATCCGGGAAAATCCAATCATGCATAAGACTAAAACATCGATTCCAATTTAGATATTAAAAATATATTTAAATTTTGTTTTCGCGGTATTCTACTTTCATTTCTCACACTCTCTCAATCTCCAAATGGCATGCATGTGTATGTGTGCTATACAAACCAGCATGTATATGTGTGTTATTCTGCACGATTTATATCTCTATTTCTACATATATTAAAAACTGCTTTTCCTTGATATTATTTTTTTTCTATAATCCCAAACACTGACACTCCTATATAATGCACAACAACACTACACAACATTTACATATAAGAAATTTATTTTTTCAAAAAAAAAAAAAAAAAAATCAATATTCTCCAAAAAAAAGTTGCAGGTGAAAAAACAAAAATAAAAAAATACAATTATGCGTGTATAAATTATTAGCTTCAAAATTTCTTATTTTTATTATTATTTTATAATTAGCCAAGAAACGAAAGCACCAGAAAAAGGAGGTAATCAAATATAAAGATTTACAAATTTTGACTACCAAGTTGTAAACGTCATTGCTGTTTAGCAAAAAGCAGACAGACTCTCGCAGGACTCACGACCATCTGTTTGTTTTGTTTATTAGGACTTGCAAAGTTCCAAAGGCGATCAAAAACGGATATTAGCAAAAAATAAACAAAACAAAAAAAGCGGACTATTCCGCCTCAATGTCAAGTCAAGACTTGCAAATGTTATCGGATACGAACTTTTAAGCACCACCTAGAAGTCAATTCTGAACTTCTTTGGAGCCGTAAAATCCTACATAGATTCAATACTATATCCAGATTTAAAACACATAGTAAATGGATATGGGTTCGATTAATTGAAAATACAGGCTAGATGAGTCCAAATTCGATCAGACATGGATATTACCAAAAAATTATGACTACTGCACCTAGATGTCAAGTCAAAGCAGGCAGGCTTATACTTCGATATTACCTCAGAATCGATGAAACCTGGTTAATTTTCGAATTCACTTAGAGTTAAAATCCAGAGCTGATAAATCCTGTTCGATTATCACTTAATTCCACCCACTTCTCACTTTTGATTAGGAAATAGACACTTGGCTTATTATAGCTACATTTGTAGGTCAAGTTTTAACAAGTAAAAAAACGTAAATACAGCCGTGCCGAACTTTGAATACCCTCCACCATTTGGAAAGAATTTGGAAATTTAAAAAAAAAAACTGTTAAAAATTTTGTTAAAACTTAAAAATAACGAACATAGCCAATATATTGGGCTCTATAGAAAGACGTGGACCAGCATGGGCAACTTTTTATTACAATATTCAAATAAGAAACTTGAAAAAATCCGGTGAATAATGTAGCTAAAATCATCAAAATACCGAATATAGGGAGGCACCGTTTATATCGGAGCTATACGAAGACCTGGACCTCCATAGACAATTTTCTGTCACAGGCTGTAGTACCTATAAGGAACTTCATATACGACATCTCACACAATTTCTGTGAATATTGTATCTAAAATCGGCAAAATTCCGAATATTGGGAGATACTGTTATATGAAGGCTATACGAAGACGTGGGCCTGGATACGCAATTTTTTGTCTTAGGCTGTAGTACCCGTTACGAACTCTAAATATGAAATTTGAAATAACTTCGGAGAATAATTTCGCTAAAATCCCCAAAATACCGAATATTGAGAGGTACCGTTGCATGTGGGCTATACGAAGACCTGGACCTGGATAGACAATTTTCTGCCACAGGCTGTAGTACCTAATAGGAACTTCAAATACGACATCTCAAACAATTTCGGTGAATATTGTATCTAAAATTGGCAAAATTCCGAATATTGGGAGATACCGTTAAATGGAGGCTATACGAAGACGAGGGCCTGCATACGCAATTTTTTGTCTTAGGCTGTAGTACCCGTTACGAACTCTAAATATGAAATTTGAAACAACTTCGGTGAATAATGTCGCTAAAATCATTAAAATACCGAATATCGGGAGGTACCGTTATATGGGGGCTATACGAAGACGTGGACCTGTACGGACAATTTTCTGTCGTAGGCTGTAATATCCATTACGAACTTCAAATACCAAATTTGAAACATTTGCGATGAATAGAGTCGCTTAAATCACAAAAATACCGAAAATAGAGAGGTACCAATATATGGAGGCTATACGAAGACGTGGACCTGTACGGACAATTTTCTGTCATAGGCTGTAGTATCCATTACGAACTTCAAATACCAGATTTGAAACATCTCCGGTGAATAATGTCGCTTAAATCACCAAAATACCGAATATCGGGAGACATAGTTATATGAGGGCTATACGAAGACGTGGACCTGCACAGACAATTTTCTGTCATATTCTGTAGTATCCATTACGAACTTCAAATACCAAATTTGAAACAATTCCGGTGAATTATGTTGCTAAAATCATCAAAATACCGAATATCGGGAGGTACCGTTATATGGGGGATATACCAAAACGTGGGCCTACATGGTCCATTTTCAATACCAAAAGTCCTGCATACATAATATACATTTGCGTAAAATTTTATCAACATACTAGATTTCGTTCCGAAGCTAGAGTGATTTCCACAGACGGGCGGACATAGAATTTTAATGCTAATCAAGAATATATATAATTTGTGGGGTCTAAAATGTATATTTCGAGGTGTTACAAACGGAATAACAAACTTAATATACCCTCCATACCATGGTGGAGGGTATAAAAAATCGACGAACTTTTTATCCCTCTTTTTTGGTGCTTTCCGAAACTTTAGATATTAGTTTTCAATTTTTTTTATTTTTTTTTTTTTTTTTTGAATAGCTAGTCTGTACCCCATTAAATCCTATTTTAAAAACTTAAAATTCTAACAACATGTTTCCTTTTCTTCTTTCTATTCCCCCATTTTTTTCTAGAATTCGGATCGTGATCGTATCGTATGGACGTATAATGCTCCCCTACAGCCACATCAAATAGCAGCTTTGCAGCAGCAACAACAACAACAGCAACAGTATTCTTCTACAAATTACAATAGCAACAATCACTCTCATTCCCATCACTCACATTCACACTCCAGTTCGATGAGTTCATCGCCACAGCATTCGGTGGGCAGTCCAGCCTCACCCACATCGGTGTCCAGTTCGGTGATGTCGTCGTCGGGCGGTTCGAAGGGTGCCTTTGGTCTAAGCGGTAATAACAATGGTCATATGCAACATCAACAACATGTTGTTGTAACTAACGGTAGTAGTATGAATTCAACAACTAATACAACAACAATGGGTCTACTGTACTGCCCCAATGGGGGCGGCGGTGGTGGCGGTAGTAGTAACAATACTAACAATACTTTAGGTGGTGGTGGTGGCGGCGGAGACCTCAGTGTCTCCGAGGCCATATCCAACATTTCTAGCCCTGACTATCAGGATGATGATAATTTACTCAGTTCTCGCGATCTTTTAGGCGGTATGATACTTAGTGATCCCAGTGATTCAGATTCCACAATTTTGGTTTCCGATGCTGCTGTGCAGCGTCAACAACAACACCAGCAACATCAGCAACAACAACACCGACAACAGCAAAAATCCTCAGAACACAAGGTTGTCATTAAGGTGCGTGGCGCCGACAATGGCAATAATGTCAATAACAACAACAATGGCTCGCCCTCGAGTAGATCTCAGCATGCTGGCGCCGCCACATCATCGGATCACGAAGATGAACTTGCCACTCTAACCGAAGAACCTCAGCACCAGGGCTCCTCCTCCTCCTCGGCTGGCATTAATAATAACTGTGGTGGCGGGGGCGGTGATGGTCGTGACTCGTCACCACCCGTCTCTGACGATGGCAGTGATGTTGAATCATTACACTCCTATCATTACTCACCCAAGGCTGTTGATATGCCATCGGCCATACGTTTGGCAAAAAGACTGTACACTCTGGATGGTTTCAAGAAGAGTGATGTATCCCGTCATTTAAGTAAAAAGTAAGTGTGTGCGTCTGTGTGTGTTGAAATTTTGTATTTTTGAAAATAAAATAACCGCTTTTATTAATCTCTTTTTCATCCTAGCAATGACTTTAACCGGGCTGTGGCCGATGAGTATCTGAAATATTTTAATTTTGAAAAAAAGACTTTGGATCAATCGTTGCGCGAATTTCTACAACAGTTTGCCTTGTCGGGTGAAACCCAGGAACGTGAACGGGTATTGGTTCACTTTTCCAAACGTTATTTGGATTGCAATCCGGGAACGTTCAATTCACAAGGTAAGTTGGGGTGGATTTGGTAGGGGAAGAGATTTGTAGAAGTAAAAAAGAAAAATAGAGTGGAAAAGAAAAGAAGGTCATATCAAGAAACAAACAATTGTTTCAGAACTGAAACCGCTTTTATTACTTACGCAATTATTACTTTTCCCCACCCACTTCTCAATTCTGAATTTGGAAATAGAAAATTCACTGATAAAAGAGTTAAGTTTTAAATTTTGCTAAGAGAGAGTAGGTATAGAGTTCTAAACGCCGAAGTTGCTGGCCGAAATTATTTAAGTTCATACTATTTCTAAATCATTCCAAAATCTCACGTTACACTTGGGTTTAGTGAAATGGTGTCAATGGAAAAAATGTTCTGGACAAAATTTCAATAGGGGTCGCCGAGCAAAAGAAGTCTCTATATATGTTACATATATCTGGAAAATTTCACAACAAATTGGATATTAAAATAACATAGTTAAGTTTAATTAATTTTTCTCTGTCGGACCCTGATTTTTTTACATATTTTCAAGTTGTGTCAAAATCCGAAATATTTTAATATATCCGGTTTATGTACTTTATGCAATTTCCGAGTAGGGCATTGGAGAACATAAGTCTACGCAGTTAATATCAATAAAAATAATAACAAGTTTTAATGTAAAAATTTTAGTCCATTTCGTACAATTATCAAATCTTGCCAAAATCGTCCCTAATACTTGGGTTTGGTGAAATGGTGTCAATGGAAGAAACATTCTAGACGACATTTCAGTATGAGTCGCCGAGCAAAAGAAGTCCCAATATATGTTACAGATATCTGTAAAATGTCACAACAAATTGGATATTAAAATAACATAGTTAAGTTTGGTTCATTTTTCTCTTTGTTAATATTGCGGCAATTGACCCTGAGTTTTTCATTTTTAGAGAGTGATGTCAAAGGATAAAATGTTCTACACATAATTTTTACTACAGTTCTCTGAATATCCAACTCTGTAAATTCGATACATTTAAGAAATTTATTTGTTAAAAGAATGTCCACAAAAAAGAAATATCTTTTTTGGTAATTTAGGTTCAAATTGTACCAACATTTTCCCAATGCTTCATAATATTCGGTTAATGTTAATGGAGAAAAGGTTCTACATCAAATTTCAGAAAAGGTCACTGAAGAATATAAATCGGAGCAATTAATATAAATAAACAATAGTAACAAACTTAAATGTATTTCTAAACAAAAAGAAAATGGTTAATTTCGTACTATTTTCAAATCATTCCAAAATCTTGCCTAAAACTTGGGTATGGTGAAATGGTGTCAATGGATGAAATGTTCTAGACAAAATTTCAATATGGGTTGCCGAGCAGAAGAAGTCTCTATATATGTTACTAATATCTGTAAAATGTCACAACAAATTGGATATTAAAATAACATAGTGAAATTTGGTTAATTTTTCTCTCTGTTAATAATGTAATTTTTCATATATTTTCAATTTGTGCCAAAATCTTCTCCATATTTCATTTTTTTGGGTAAAAGTTCTTCATCAAACTTCTGAGTAGACCATTGAATAATATTAATCGCTGCATTGTTGATATTAAATAAATTGTAATAAGTACATTGAGTTTATGTACAAATATTACTTAATTTTGTACTATTTTCAAATCATGCCAATATCTATCCTTATTCTTGGATTTAGTAAAATGGTGTCAATGGAAGAAATATTCTAGACAAATTTTCAATATGGGTCGCCGAACAAGATAAATCTCTAGTTGTATTATAGACATCTGAAAAAGATCAAAACAAATTATATATAAATATCTAGTTAGTTTTTGTCTATTTTTTCTCTTTGTTAATTTGGAGTCAATTGACACTGAGTTTTTCATTTTCGGAAGGTGATACAAATGAGAAAATGTTCTAGAACGAATTCCAATATCGTTCACCCAAAATAGAAATCGGTAGAGAAAATGTTCTAGAACGAATTCCAATATCGTTCACCCAAAATAGAAATCGGTAGATGCAATACTTATCAGAAAAAGTCAAATAGTAGCAGTCGGTTTTGCCGACAGATGTATAAACACAGCAGTTTGCCAATATTGACCACTTCGTATCTGACCTAAGACTGATAAAAATATTACAACGTGCCAGATTTGGACTATATCGACTACTTCCTGTACTTTATATGAGATATTCATATTCATATCAGATTTCTGGTTAAGAGAAATATTTAAATATAGGAAGATGTAAAGAACAGTCGCAAGTTATGACAGATAAAAGTATTGAAAATTGTGACCCTTTGTGGGTGAGGTATAAGAAGGCGTTCGCAGATATATATAATCTTCACAACAGATCTTGTGTTAGCAAAAATGTTTGTATGTGTGAAATTTGAGGAGAGTTGGATGCTTATGAGCGTTTGGTTTTTCAAAATCTTGAAGGTAGCAAAAGAAATGGTCCGATTTCTACTATCTTTAATAGATCTTGTGTTAATGGAAATATTAATATGTACCAAGTCTGGAATGGAATCAGATTTTAATTTCGCGTTTTATGAGCTTCATGTATATTCAAAATTTTGAACATTTGTGGGGGAGGTACCAGAAGGAGTGGATCGATATATCCCATCTTCACACCAGACCTTGGGTTAACAAGAATATTGTGTTGTGTGTAATTTGAAGAGAACCGAATGCTTATTTCGGATTTTATGATCGTTTTGGTCATACAAAATTTTAAGCCTTTGTGGGGGAGGTACCAGCAGGAATGGTCCGATCTCTACCATCTTTATAACACATCTTGTTTTGATGGAAACATTGAGGTGGGCCAAGTCTGAATGGAATCAGATTTTAATTTCGTGTTTTATGAGCTTCATGAATATTCAAAATTGTTGACCCTTTGTGGGGGAGTTACTAGAAGGAGTGAGCCGATATATTTCATCTTCACATCAGACCTTGGGCTAATAAAAATATTGTGATGTGTGTAATTTGCAGACAATCGGACACTTACATCACATTTTATAAGTGTTATAATTATTCAAAATTTTCGCCCTTTGTGGAGGAGGTACTTAATGAAGTGAATCGATATTGTTCATTTTCGCACCTGATCTAGCACTGATGAAAATATTATGATTTGAAAAGTTGGAGCAAAATCGGATTATCCTTTTGCCTTCAGTGCAGTAAATTATTTTTTTGAAAATGTTGACATTTTGTGGGGGAGGTACTAAAAGGAGTGGTCCGATATTGCCCATCTCCAAACTCGATCTAAGTTTGACAACAATATTACGATGGGCCAAGTTTAGACCAAATCTGATACTCCCTTGGAGAGTTATCGTGTGCACCAGCCAAAAAGACAGACAGACGGATGGACGGACTTCGCTAGATCGACTCCAAATGTCCTGAAACGGATTTGGTCCAAAGAGACCTAGGGCCTAAGCCCGTTATTTCGATGAGGCACGTTTTGGCCGTATCAAATGGTATATACCCTCTCTAGCCATATGGTTGAGGGTATTAAAATAGCGGTTACTAGAGTGGCTTTTAAAAATGAAAATATCTTTGAAGTTATTTGATAACATTTTCGAGTTTTTTCATAATATTCCTCAATATTTCATTGGGTTAATATTGGGTTAATGTCAATGGAATGTTGACAAAAATCTCCAAGTTGTTATTTGAAAAGTCACCTCAAAAGAAAACCATAGGCTCATCTTTATAGACCTCCTTAAATTAGTGTTTATGGACTACCTTAAGGTCGTATCTATAAACGTTTTTCAGGTCGCTTTATTTTCGGCCATAAGGTCGTCTTGCTGACGTCCATGAGGTCGTCTTTGTAGACGTCCATAAAGCCGTCTTTATTTATAGACTACCTTAAAGTCGTATTTATAGACGTCTGAATTTCAAGTAGGGTTATAAAATGGACTTTTAGTTTATTTTTCATTATTATTATTATTATTAATTTATTTATTTCCCTTTCCAGATGCCGTTCACACCTTAACCTGTGCTATCATGCTACTAAATACCGATTTACATGGCCAAAATATTGGACGAAAGATGACATGCAGTGAATTCATTGAAAATCTGGCTGAACTCAATGATGGTGACAATTTTCCCAAAGATATACTCAAGTGTTTATATCAGGCCATTAAAACCCAGCCATTGGAGTGGGCATTGTAAGAATACCAGATAATATTAGCCAACGCAAAACAAACTGAAATTCTATTCATTTTTCTTCCAGGGATGATGATGCCAATGACTTGGCCAAACAACAGTCTGACAACAAAAATAGTGTACAATCTACTGCGCATTTAGGACAAAATCCATTTTTGGATTTACCCGAAACCACAAATGCTGTGGAATACAAAAAGGGCTATGTTATGCGGAAGAGCTGTTACGATGCAAATTTCAAGAAAAGTAAGTCAAGGAGGAGATATCAATTGAGGTTTGTTTAATAATCGGTATTTTTTTTTTAATTTCCAGCTCCTTTCGGCAAGAGATCATGGAAAATGTTCTATTGTACCCTCAGAGATTTAGTATTATTTTTGCACAAGGATGAGCATGGTTTTCGCAAGAGTCAAGTATGTTTTCTTCTTTTCTACCTGTTTTCATAGAATTAATTTCAATAATTGGTTTTCATTGCAGATGTCTGATAACCTACACAATGCCATACGCATCCATCACGCGCTGGCAACCAAAGCAACTGATTACACGAAAAAACAACATGTCTTTCGTCTACAAACTGCCGATCAGGCAGAATATCTATTCCAAACGAGTGATTCAAAGGAATTGCAATCCTGGGTGGAGACTATAAATTTTGTATGTGCCGCCTATTCAGCGCCTCCTTTAGAAGGAGGCGTGGGTAGTCAAAAACGTTTCCAAAGACCACTGCTACCTAGTTCGCATACTAAATTGTTACTGGTAGGTAGACGTTGTCATTTTTTTCAGTAATGTAAAGAAATGAAAAATACTGGCGATTATAGAGCTAAACATAGGGTCGTTTAAACTTATCCAAAGATGGTCATATGGGGGACTTTGAAGACACCCAAACGGTCTTTATAGACGGCCATATGGTCGTCTCTACATACGGCCATAAGGTCGTCTTTATAGACAGCCAGAGGGTCCTCTTTAAAGACTGCCATAGGATCGTCTTTATAGACGGCCATAGGTTCGTCTTTATAGACGTCCATAAGATAGTGTTTATAGAAGCCCATAGGGTCGTCTTTATAGACGGCCATAGGGTCGTTCCTTCTAGACGACCATAGGATAGTCCCTTATAGGTCAACGGATCCTCTATATAGACGGCCAAAAAGGTATTTTTATAGGAGTTCAAAAGGCATTTTTATAGGCGTTCAAAAAAAGACATTTTCTCTCAGCCGTCCGTCCGTTCGTCGGTCCGTCTGTCTGGCTGGTGCGCACGATAACTCTCGAAGGGAGTATACGATTTTATCCACACTTGGTGCATCGTAATATTATTGTCATACATAGATCGAGTTCGAAGATGGACAGTATCGATCCACTCCTTCTGGTACCTCCACAACAAAATGTCAAAATTTTCAAAGAAAATAATTTACGGCACAGAAAGGGAAAGGATAATCCGATTTTCTTCAACTTTGCAAATCTTAATATTTTCATCAGTGCTACCGAAGGTGCGAAAATGGACAATATCAGTTCACTTTATCCAATACCTCCCTCACAAAGGGTCATAATTTTGAATAATTATAACTCTTATAAAATGTGATATATTTGTCCGATTCTCTTCAAATTATGCACATCACAATATTTTTATTAACCCAAGGTCTGGTGTGAAGATGGAATATATCGGTCTACTCCTTCTGGTACCTCCCCCACAAAGGGTAAACATTTTGAATAACCAAAACGATCATAAAATCCGATATAAGCATCCGGTTCTCTTCAAATTACACACATCACAATATTTTTATTAGCACAAGCTCTGGTGTGAACATGGAATATATCGATCCACTCCCTCTCGTACCCCCCCACAAAGGGTCAAAATTTTGAATATTCACGATGCTCATAAAATACGAAATTAACATCCGATTTATTTCAGACTTGCTACATCTCAATATTTCCATCGAAACAAGATCTGTTATAAAGATGGTGGAGATCGGACCATTCCTTCTGGTACCTCTCCCACAAAGGGTTAAAATTTTGATTAACCAAAACGATCATAAAATCCGAAATTAGCAGCAGGTTCTCTTCAAATTACACATTTTTATTAACCCAAGGTCTGGTGTGAAGATGGTAGAGATCGGTCCACTCCTTCTGGTACCTCTCCCACAAAGGGTCAGAATTTTGAATATTCATGAAGCTCATAAAACGCGAAAATAATTTCCGATTCCATTCAGACTTGATACATCTCAATATTTCCATCAACTCAAGATTTGTTATAAAGATGGTCGAGATCGGACCATTCCTTCAGGTAACTTCCACACATAGGGTTCACGATTTTGAAAATCAAGACGCTCATAGAAAGAAAAATATGCATCCGATTCTCTTCAAATTTCACACATCCAAATATTTTTATTAACCCAAGCTCTGGTGTGAAGATGGAATATATCGATCCACTCCTTCTCGTACCTCCCCCACAAAGGGTCAAAATTTTGAATATTCTTGAAGCTCATACAACGTGAAAATAACTTCCGATTCCATTCAGACTTGATATATCTAAATATTTCCATCAACACCAGATTTCTTATAAAGACGGTATAGATCGGACCATTCCTTCTGGTACCTCCCCCACACAGGCTTCAAGACTTTGAAAAACAAAACGCTCAAAGAAAGCGAAATAAGCATCCAACTCTCTTCAAATTTCACATATGCAAATATTTTTGCTAACACAAGATCTGCTGTAAAGATAATATATCTGCCAACCCCTTCTGCTACCTCACCCACAAAGGATCACAATTTCCAATACTAATATCTGTCACAACTTGCGAAACAAGCTGGCGTTTCTTTGCTACTTGCTATATCTAAATATTTTTCTTAGCCGGAAATTTGAGAAATTTTTATAAATGTTCGATTTCCTTCAAATATTGTACATACCAATATTTTTATCTGTTTTAGCTAAAGTATGAAAATGGAATACTTCGGCCTGACACATCTGATACCTCACGCATATTTCCATTTTACATACCTCATATAAAGTATAGAAAGTAGTCGCTATAGTCCAAATCTGTCACGTTGTAATATTTATATCAGTCTCAGGTCAGATACGAATTGTTCAATATTGGCCAACTGCTTCGAAACCTCCCTCCCCCATAAAGAGTCAACAGTTTTAAATAATCATAACTCAAGACCGGGGGTATAAATTTGCCGGCAAGACCGGCTGATACTATTTTACTTGTTATAGACTACCTTAAGATCTGTAGACAACCTGAAGGTGGCCTTTGCAGCTAACCAGAAGGAGCTCATATTTTTTAAAATCATTAACATTTTTTAATATTTTTCTAATGTTTTTTCTTTGTTTTTTTTTTTTTTACTTTACAGAAAGAACAATTGGAGTCACATGAACAGCAATTAGCAAAAATTGAAAACACATTGATGGAACATAAAAAGGGTCCCATACCAACAAAAGGCTTAGCTTTACAAAACTACAAGGAAAAAGAAGCATTTTTACAATATGAGGTGAGGAAATTACAAAAAAAAAGGAATTACAAAAATATAAAATATTAAACATTTTCCTCTTCTTTCTCCCATTTTATTGCCCTGCAGTTACGTCGCTACAAGGCGTATGTGTCAATTTTAACAGCTAAGATCTTAGCTGACCAACAACAGCAATTCGAATTGCAACAATCGAATCAATTAAACGAAGAAGATTCGGATAAGTTTTTTAAAATACAAACTGCAACAGCTCCTATACGTTTACAACCAATGACATCAGCATCCTCCACAACCATAACAACAACAGCAGCAGCACCAAATAGTATTAATGCTAATGATGAACAGCAGCAGCAGCAGCAGCAACAAGAACATCAATCATCACAACCATCTGGAAACAGGTACAGTACAAATAATCGTGCTGCCATTTATCGCACAGATCAACAACAAGATCTTGGCTGACGTGTAATGGGAGTTTTCTCAGCTTGTGTGGTCTAAATGTGTTTTTTATTTTTTTTTTAATTTTTAATTGTTGTTGTGTTATCCTTAATTTCTTCTTTGATTCCACGGCTAAATGTTTTCCTTTTATTGTGTTTCTTATTTCATTAAGTTTTCCTTAACTCTTTGTTTTTTCTTTTTTCTGTTGCATTTTTGAACAAAGTCCAAATTTGTTTTATTTCCATTCCATTAAGAAATCAATTAACATGCGCCCAAAACACTAGAGTTAGTTCACAAACAATAAATCATGTTTCTTGGTACCTTGTCGTTCCGACTATACAGGGGTTGTCTTTTTATTATTTCTTTTTTCAGTTTAAAACATAGTTCTAGAAATGCCCCAAAAATTAGTTATGTCAATTCACAGAAGAAAAACTGAGGTTATGGTACTCAAAACAAAGGTTGTTATAGTTTAGAAGAGGAAATAAATTGGGGACATATATTTATGTTTTATTTAGTTAACGTTTTTTTTATTGTTTGCCGTTAGGGGTTTTGTTATAAATTCAGAATCTCCCGAATCTATCCAAATTATTTATATATTTTTCTGGGGATTATGGATCATTTGAGAGAGGCGAAAATGTGTTGGCCTTATAGCGAAAGTATTTAATTTCTTAAAAAATTACAGGAAACCCCGATAAGATTTGGAAAGCACTGGGCGTTTTGAAAGTCTACATCGAACGGTGACAAAAATAGGGCGAGGAAGTTAAGCAAATTTATTCTTTTAATACCCTCCACCATTCTATGGAGGGTATATTAGCTTCGTCATTCCGTTTGTAACTCCTCGAAGTACTCATCAGCTCCTCGAAATATTCATATTGAGGGGAGATCTATCTATGTATAATACTTTTCATGAAATATAGGGCCTTAGAAATTTCAAGAACTGAGTCTAAATCTCCCTATTACTTTTTTTGACCAACTCCATAGAATTTATTAACTTTCGGTTCCGCTCCGAAAAGGTAGGAAAAAAATAATAACTCATAAGCACACAGCAGCCTATAGCTTCCTTCAAAATTAAAGATCTTCAACAAAGGATGGGCTCAATAGTTTATATTTCTCTCACTCACTCGTGGACCATTGTGTTCATCCTCTAACTGCTTTCCCATTAAGAGTGATGGTAATATCTCCATTACTTGTCCCTATTGTTGAAAATATGGGGCTCCTTGGATCAAGGCGGTATCAATATTTGATGCAATTGAGGCTTAACTGGCAGACCTTTTTACAGCTTAATTTATGGAAAGCGATACTGAATCCTTCGCAACTCAAAGCTTAGCAGAACCCTCGGCCTCTTAGGAGGGCCTCTTCGGCCTTGTATGTGGCTACTTAAAGTTTCAGTTTTAAGTTCATAGTAAAGGAATTTAGACGTGCCAATTTCCAGTGTCAAGACCAGCATTCTGCTTCTCATCCTCTCAATCTCCTTTGACTCCATTATACGATACGTTGAAGCCACCATTCCGCATGGAATTTCTGAGACAGGAACGTCGGCCTCCCAAAGGGCAATTAACTGCGGAAATTATGAAGTCTACAGACGATCTTGCTGCGGCTTTGGGACTCTGCGAAGCATTACCGACAAGATCGACTTTCACGATCCCTTTAGCGTTCGTCCCATTATCCTTCTTTGTCGCCAGTTGACGCAATCCTCTTCACGGCCACTGCCTGAAAGGGGACTTGGTTGATATTGTTGTAGTATTAGTACATGCGGATGTTTGTATTCTGCTAACCTAGTCCAGGTTTAAAAAATCTTAATGGAGTGTAACCAGAGATCTTCTGAAGTGGGTTGGGTAGGTTTTGCGGTGCAATTAAAGAGGTGCAGCGTATTGTGCGGGTCTGGATCACACGCCGAGCAGACGTCACGCACATCTTCGCTAATTCGTGCCCAATACGAATTGAGACGAAAGCACCATCCTGAAGGAAATTGCGCCAAAACTACCTTAGCATGTCTAGGCAGCTGACGTTCTTTAGCTGCAATGGATGGGCGGTGGACCTACATTTTGGGGGCTTGATCGCCTTCGTGGCTGTTTCCTTCAGTGTTCGCCAGCTGTAACCTTTTTTGTAGATGATTCCGTCCCGTCCATCTGTTGTCACCTCCTTTTGCCGTTATAACGGGTTTAGATGATCAATCAACTAATGGTCTCGGCTGAGCCGATTTCAAGGATTTAGCAAGTCTTGTTTTCTTTTTTTACTGGTCTGCGGCTCCGTTGATTTAACCGTTTTCCATTGCTTTACAGTGTGGTACCTTCGGTTTTGGCACATCAGAGAACTTCTTGAAAGGTTCCTTTAGGGGTTTACCGGGGACGTCGCATTTTTTTGGGGCCTCGACTGATTTCACTACTGTTCTGTATGTAGATAGCCTGCTTTTCGGAAGTTCCCTTAGTTTTGCACTAGGATATGTCCTCTTGAACTTCGGGTTCGTTCTGATAATCTGCAACTCCATATCAGTGAGTTTGTTATGGATCCCCATCGACATATCGACAACAGCAATTTACTGGTCGCAGATATGCCTTTTTATACCCTACACCACAAGGTGGTCAGGGTATTATGTCTTTATGCATTTGTTTGTAACAAGCAAAAGGAAACGAGATAGACCCATATTTCCTTTTGATCATCGTCATAGCATCACATTCTGAGTCGAATCACATTCTGAGTACAGGTCGCATTTATTGCCCGATCCAGATGAAATTTTGCACAAATCATTTGTTTGACCCATGGGCGAACCTTATTGAAATTGGAGATAATCAGTCAAAATTTAGATATGGCTGCCATATATATTTTTTCGTCCGATTTGCCTTTTATTGTGTGCCAAGCGTGTAATATCAGCCCAAACAGTATGGAATTTTTCACATACGAGCAAACTAGATCTGAAAATAAGTATGCAAAATTTGATCGAAATCGGTTCAGATATAGTTATAGCTCCCATACATATTGCTCGTCCATTTTTTTTTATATTTTTTCTCCACAGCCATAATATGCACTCTGTAACAACTATATTTGGGTAAATATTTCAAATATAGCTCAGAAACATCTTTGCTAAATTTTATCGAGATCGGTTCAGATTTGGATATAGCTACCATATATATCTTCGTCCGATGTGCCTTTTATTGTACACCAAAGGTGTAATATAAGCCCAATTGTGATGGAATTGACGACCCCACCCGACTTTAAGACTTTCTTTACTGGACTTGGCGTTTTTAGAGTCGGGAGAACTCAGCCACACTTCCATTTTATCATGCTGAGCCAACCGTATGTAATATTATTTGATTTTAAAACATTAGGGCACATAACGAGGACATATTGTATCCGCAAACTGAAGTGAAAAAACAAACCGCTCTTGAAAAACCATTTCCCATTTTCATTGAGTGAAAAGCTCTCGGCAATTATTATTTCTACAAAGGCATGTCATTCAAATTAAGTAGCTATTCCTTTGCCAAAAATAAGTAGCTTAGTTGGACAAATAAATAGGTACCTATTTCGAGTGGCATGCCCTTGTTAATCGGTAGTAATCCGATTTGTAATGAGTGTTTTTTTATGTTCCGTAAGACAATAACTTATTTTCATATGTTTGGGGATTTGAATTTTGCCCAGTTGGAGCATCTGAGGTTTCTGTAAGGCTGTTTCGTTTATTACCCATAATACTTGTAAATGTATTGCTCTGCAGATACAAGAGGGCAGTTTTCTCATAAGGGAATATTATATTATAAGGATATCCTTCAAATTAGTTTTTGATGATTTCTATCACCTGCCTTACCGGGGTTTGAATTGAGGCCTTATAATCTTTAAAAGTTAACTGGAATAAAATAAGCTATGGACTTAACTCTGTCATTGGTTTTTTTAATCCCCCCAAGAAATGGTGGACAATTATAGAAGACCCAGTTTCACTGCACTACAGTATGCTATCTTGTATCCCACTAAACATTAATGGATCCAAATAATGTAAAGAATTTAGTAAAACGTTGCCCATTTAGACGTTTTATTTATAACGTCGACTTAAAGACAATGATATAATTTTTAACCAGTGGCCATGAAATAGTCCCTCTTGACGCCAATAAATCATACAAAATTTAAGATTAGTAACTTATCCAACCGGGTTAGAATTATAGTACTTCCTATGTACATTATTGTGGTAATTAATTTTGCTTCTTCTTCTTCTATAATATATATTTTGCAAACAGTTTTTATGTTGTATTATTTTATTTACGATATTTCATTTTAATTCTTTTTTATTTAATTTTTAAAATATTTTTATTACATAATTTCTTTGATCTTAATTTTTACACAAGCTTCCATATATTCCCCCATGCATTCTTTTTAGTTTTCTTCACATTTAATTTCTTAATAAACCTTATTGTAAAAATGAAAAACATTAAAAAATTATGTACAGTAATTCTATGCTATCTCTTCTTCCTGCAATAATAGTAATATTATTATTATTAATAATATGTTAAATATCATCCTTATACATAGAAGTTATGTAAGTTATGTTTAAGTATAATTTTTATATTCATATATTTACATATATACACACATCCGTTGTACATACTTTCCAATAACAATAATAAAAGAGAAAAACAATAGTTTCCAGTAAAATTGTGCATCTAATTTCTATTCTCTAATTTTTGCCATTATGCTTTTCAACTCATCACCGGTTTTCTCATTTCAAATATGAAAAATTGTCTAAATTTGGAACTTCTAATTTTAGTGATAGTTATAACTTTTTATACCCTCCGCCATAGTATGGAGGGTATATTAAGTTTGTAATTCTGTTACAACCTCGAAATATACATTTTTAGACCCCACAAAGTATTTAAATTCTTGATCAGCATAAAATTCTATGTCGATTTAGCGATGTCCGTACGTCTGTGGAAATCACTCTAGCTTCCGAACGAAATGAAGTACGTTGATAAAATTTTAC